ATTAATCAAACACCTAAAGTAGAATATTAAGTATGATGTCTGATAGTTGAATTTCCACTCCTGGAGCTGAATCTGGTCTAGGTATGAATAAGCTGAAAATAAATTAAGTAAGCCCGATTATGGTTTTTGTTGAAATGAAAACTAAAAGAAAATGCTATAAACGTTGAAAATAGCTCTTAGGAAACTTCCTTTATTAACAAATTTATTTATATTAGTTTAAAAAGCGAGAAGAGAAATGCTAATGTAATATTTAATGCATGATTGTGTGAAAGATATTTTTTTATTTCCAAAAAAATCTTATAGTTTCTTTTTTTTATTGGCATTTTACTTTAAAATAATATAAAGGCAAGGGAAGTTTCAAGTAAATAATGGATTGTTGATGGAATTTATATATGATTACATGTTTTAAAAATGTTAAGAAGTGCTAATTCTCAGAACCCTTCCAACTTTTCCACAGAACCCTGCGGTTCCGTGGAACACCATTTGGGAAAGGTTGTTCCAGAATAAATCTTTGAATAAAATATAATTGGCCATATGTTTACAATATTCTGTGAAATGCTTTTTTATGTGAATCAAAAATTATTTATGTTAATGCAATTATCATTTTTGGTTTTATTATTTTGCATTCTTTTTCACCTCTTTAGAAATCATGAAATTGTAGATTAAAGTGAATTTTTATCTGACAATCCAATTTTCTTGCTTATTCTTCCTTTATTTCCTACTATTTTCTGAGAAATGTTTCAGCTGTCTTTTTTAAGTGTGGTAACGTTTGTTTTCCAAGGTATTGAATGTCAACTGTAACTAGGAAATAGTTCTATTGTTTTAAATGTACGTGTACATAGTGTTTTTTTCTTTTCATTTTCAGGACTACCACAAAATAATAAAAAACCCAATGGATTTGGGTACTGTTAAGAAACGTTTGGATAATTATTACTATTACTCATCTTCAGAATGTATTCAAGACATCAATACTATGTTTATGAATTGTTATGTCTATAACAAACCTGGTGAAGTAAGTATTAGTATAAAGTATTTTGTTGATTGCTATAATTGAAATCAAGCAGCTTAATCTTGATTTTACTTAAGCATAGAACTTATTTATATAGAATCTAGAAAAAGATTTTAATTTTTCTTCAAGTATAAGGTTTTATTTTTTCTTTATGTGTATTGCATATAACAAAGGGGTCATAGTATAGATAATTAAAAAATTTTGAGGTACCATAAAATCATTTTCTTTTCTTCTTATAGAAATTAGTTGTGTAATTTTTTTTTTTTTTTTTTTTGAAACTCTAGTAGAAAGTATTTTATATGTGTTTATAGTTATAAAATATACTTAGGTCATAAAAATATGGCACCCAGTATAAAAGTCAGAANTTTTCTTTTCTTTTTTTTGTGGCCCCCCTGTTAAAAGTAAATAAAATTAATTTTATATTAAAAATTTCACTGAATTCATTTTAAATTAATGAAGAAAAAAAACATAATTTGAAATTATATTTTTTAAAATATTTGGAAAGAGTTTCCTTTTTCTCTATTAATGTATAAAACTTTACCAAATTATAACATCTTAGAGCACTGAGCAAAAGTTTTTTCCCCAATGGCTGCAATCAAGAATGTGTCTAGTTTCATTATTATCTTATTGAGAGCAAGCAAATTATATGACATATTAAAAATTGGGAATATTGTCATCCGCTTCTGCAAACACTAAAAATTGAATGATCAAATTCTGTTGAGTATTTTTTATTTTTTTTTTTTTCTCAGAAAAAAAAAAGTCTAATGATTTTATATATGATAAATATAAATGTTTCAGCAAATGCATAGACCCTGCCAAATCTTTCTTGTTAGCAATTTAAAGAAAATTCCTTATTATTTATTTGTATGTCCTTCAAGTTCGCTATGTTAGTTTGAGTATTTATATTAATAGTTATCAATATTAATCAGTTATTGTGATTTTTCTTTTTTGAAGAACTACAAACAAAATAGCATCATTGGTGCTTCTTACAGAATCTTATTGGTCTGCAAATTCTGGCATCTCTGTTTTTTTAATTAAGAAACATTTATAAATTAAAATGCATTTTGTTTAGTTGAAATATTGAGCGTAAAAATATTTTTTTTAAGTTATCTTTTATTATTTTTGTTTAGGATGTGGTATTGATGGCTCAGACATTAGAAAAGCTCTTTCTAAATAAAATTGCTGAAATGCCACCTGAAGTAAGTTTTCCTTTGAAACATATTTTAACATAAGTAAATAACACACTAGTGTTTTTTTTTTTTTTTTTTTTTTTTTTTTTTTTTTTTTTTTTTNCCCTTTTTTTTTTTTTTTTTTTTTTTTTTTTTTTTTCTTTAAATTTCCTGGTATGCAATAACACTAGATTATTACTTTGGCTAACCTTCAGTTTAGCTGCTTAAATTTTTATTTTTTAATTGCTAGAACTTAATTTAGTTATAATGGCTGCATACTTGTGAAATTTTTAAGAAAAAGTCTTTCATTATAATAGCAACATTAAAATTATTTGTGTATTTATTTTTTTTAAAAATTTAATTGCTCGATTACGGAATTTTTTTGCATGACTGTGATTTTTCAGTTTTTGTTTTATATTTTGAAAAATTGAAATCCTATATATTTTGCAAATAGGAAATTGAAATACCCATTCCAGCCCTTAAAACTGGTGGCAAAGGTAAAGGAAAGAAAGGAAAAACTAGTCGTGGTTGGTATTATTCTTTTGTATATTCAAAAAGGCATGTTTTTTAATTCCTAATTAAAAATTTACATTGAAATTTAATAATATTAATTGTTAATCGTAAGTTGTTTTATACTATCATAAATTAACATTCTATTTTAATGGAAGCCAAAAATGTCGAAATCTGGAAAAGAAATCAAAAACTGTCTTAGTCCTTGGAGAGAATCCTAACTTTTCTCAGAGTTAAAATAATTTTATACAGTGAATTGGGGTGTTGATGTTACATTTGCAAGATAGATTTCCATCTGAATAGAAAAATCGTCTACTTAAAGATGTTTTCAATCTTTAAGTTTTCATAGTTCTTTAAATTTCTCGAGTTAGATAGTGATGCCATTATAATTTCATCGCCATAAATGATTTGATTTAAAAATATAGCCATCTGGATCATTGTTATTTTCGGTGAGTGACAACAAGAAAAATAAAATTCAGAAATTTATTTTTAGTGACTTACTACAAGAAAAAAAGCTAAATAAAAATAAGAAAAATGTGGCAGCCACACTTAATATTATAAAAACTAAAAGTTATGAATAAAGAAATAAGAATTTTAAAGAATATATTTAAATATATGTCAGTCTCTCTCACAATGATAGATTATTTAGTGAGAGGAGAGAATTTTTTTTTCAAAACTTTTTAAGTTAATTTCCATAACTGAAGTAACAATACCATAGACTCTTGATTATCCTTGACAAACGAAAAAAGGAAGACAAGTGCGGTTATGGCAATTAAAATGATTGGGAAGACCACACATTTTTCTTAACCCCTCTTTCCTATTGTATTGAACTCGCATCTCCAATCATGATCATCGCTGAATGTTATTTTCAGCCAACCAGGAACTAGCCTTTGCCCTGTTATTTATTTATTTTTAAAAAAATAGTTTAAGTTAGCCTACCAGCCTTAATTTAGCTAAATCAATATAAACTAATTGTCTTTTTTTTCCGTAACTCAGGTGGTTATTAAAAAGGGATGCTCACAACTTAAGTCTGCTGCTTCTCTTCTATGATTTTTAGCATATTTGTTACACTGTAACTAAAGTAAACTTTAATAAGTATAATTCATATCACTTGTAATGTTGCAAATTAAATTAACATTAAAAATGCTCTAATGACATTATTTTTATGTTGCGCAAAGAAACCCTATCCTCATCTACATAATATTTTCTGTTTAGATGTCTTTATTTAAACAAGTGCTTTTTCTGAAAGAAATTTTTTTTTGCTGTATAAAAATATTTCCAATTAATCCTTTATAAAAATGCTAAAAAGAAAGGAGGGTGGATTGATCTTATTTTGAGAATTATACCGAGAAAATTAAAGGTAAAGTTTATTTATAATATGAAATCCAATATGCAGAATAAAGAAATGATGTTTTAAATTAAATTCAAATTGCGTATGTGTATCCATATTTTATAATTTCGTAACTTAGAGAAATGTGATAAAGAATTACTAATTTTGATGCAATAAATCTCTATTAAGTAAGCTATCATTGTTCAGATTGTTTGTAACTTTTCTTCGAAAAAGATGTTCCTGATCTGACGACTATGTTAAATAGTTCACATTTTGTCACATGGCATGCTCTAAAGAATGTGTAATATTTCTGAATTGAAATAACGTTGCATCCACTATCAAAACCAAAAATATTCATGATGAATGTAAGAAATCTTAGCTCTTGAAATCCACTTCTAAAGTTGAATTATTGTCTTTTCCAAAAAGTTAATTATTGCGTAATGGTATGATCCTTCAGTGCTAATTTATTCTCACTTTAAAATGTTTAAAACAGCAACTTAAATGGTTCAAAATAGATACTTGGCTCAAAATTTTTATTATAAAATGATTGATTAAAAGTTGTGGCTTATTTTTTCCCCTTATTCTGCTTCTAGAATTATATTTGTTAAAAATAAAATATTTTTCTTTTTGTTTAATGACTTTAAATATTTCAGTGAATTCTACAGACTCACCTGTAGAATCCAATGTTAATTCTTCGACCGTCCAGTCAAAATCTCCTCTATCCACAACCAGTACAGTTTCTCCTACTGTTCCTGGAAGTACTAACTCCACTACAACTCTCTCTGCCTCAGCTGTAAATTCTTCAGGTATCAGTCAAAATCTGAGATCAAATACTTATAGTGGCACAAGTTCAACATCACCCCGGAAAGGGACCAATGCTGTTGAGACTAAACCTTTGCCCAATGCCAAAGTAAACTCTGTAAATGTTAATGATAGTCACAATACTGCAAATCAGCTACCGAGTCTTTCATCTCAAAGTGGAATTATTAATCAAACACCTAAAGTAGGTTATCTTTTTTCATGTGAAATACTTAATTTATAATTTAAAATATTTATATGCAATGTGAAATTTGTTTTGCCTAAGTATTGATACAGGGTTAGTTATGTTTTGAAAACGCTGGTCCTAGTTCATATCTCTCTTGCGATGTATTTTATTGAAGGATTATTATATACAAAATTATATGCATATACAGTACAGAACCCGTTATCCGGAAATCAGAAAACCAAAAAACCGGAACGAGATTCGATACATTTTCCCGCCATTTTTTAAACAAAATTTTTTTTTCCTTATAAGATTCTAGGATTATTCTTTCTTTTTTGAAAAATGTTCACCTTACCATCATTTCGGAAATAATCATTAGTGTATTACTTCATCGTTTTTTCTTCTTTTTAAGATTATTTCCCCCCAAAAAAATTTTTTTAGTTGGATTTAACAATAAAAAAACGGCTTTTTGTAGCGATTCAGAAAACCGGAAAAATCAGTTATCCGGAATAGGGATGGTCCCGATCGTTCCGGATAATCGGTTCCCTACTGTATAAAGGTTCTCAGAAATAACTGGCATAAAAATTCTTTTTTTAAAAAATAATAATAATAATCTTATGCACTTATTTTTAAGAGATCTGAACTTGATTATATATACAGAAGGATTATTTGTGGCTCTTGATAAATGTACCCGAGTTTGTGCTATTATATTTTAGAAGCTAATTATTGTTCCGTATGTGTTTCAAATGTCTTTCAAATTACTGACAACAAATATGAAAGACTAAGTGCAATATTGTAACAAATTTCATTTCCGGCCAAGTTAAGAGTGATATGACTCATCGAAAACCGCATGAACGAACATAAACAGTCAGGGTTGCCACTCCACAGGGAAAACCTGGAAAATACAGGGAATTTAAAAATCACCTAAAATAACAGGGAAAATGCAGGGAATTTTGTTTTTTTATTTTTGTCTTTTAAAAAATGGTGACCACTCAAAGCGTAATATGTGGGATATTTAACCATGATATTTCAGCTATTCTGAACTTTTTAATTTATTATAGCATTATTTAAGTATGTTCAGCTGTTTTTCCAGCAATTGAAACTAATAAATATAGTTAGCTCATTATAGCTGACACAAGAGCTCAGTAATTGTTGTTTCCTCTTAATATATTGCGTATAATTTGTACAGGGAAAACACAGAATTTTTTTTCCAGATTTGAGTGGCAACCCTGACAGTGGCGTAATCGATCTACCAATAATTAATTCTTTTTTTTTTTCTAAGAAAAAGTGAAATCCACAATGACATTTCACAACATATACAAACAACCAATATAGGCGACATTTCATTTTTTTTCTTGCTGCATTTTTATTTATTTATTTTTTTGCTGAGAAGTGCTGTCACTAATTTTTCACTACATTGAAAAGAATTATCAAGAAAAGTTAAATAAATGTGTTTAATATTTAAATTCAATACGCATATTTTGTACTTTTATTTATATGTTTTCAATAAATATAATTTCTTTAAGGAAAAATTGTTTTCTATTGAATCTTTGAAAAATTGCTCGACTATTAAGGAGCTTGGCCACCCCTGATATATACTAACAATGTAATGTTAGTTATAATTGATATACAAATTAGTTATTTAAGCATAATATAGATTATGTGGACGGACATTAAATGTGAATATTTAAAAAACATAAATGTAAACATATATATTCATAATTACTTGTTTCTGAACTAAAGCAGAGGACGTAATTGTTGAATTCGTAATTTAATCAGTAATTAAAGAATAATAATCATGGTAGGTGTATGTAAACACGGTGGGTGAAAGTCTTCAGTTCACAGGACCGATTTCAGTCTTAACCTTTTTTCCAATTTCACCCGTGGTAAACACCTAAAATGAAAAACATTGAGGATGTATCAGGATATTTAAAAGCTGCAATAAAATCAATAACTGCTGAAAATACGCTACATAGTTTTACTATACTATCTACATAAATTCAGCATATCAAAAAGTGGTTAGTATGCACGATTAAAATTTTGAAGAAATTTGATCAACTGAGAAATAAACAGATTTTTTTCAACAAAAAAAATATTTGAAATCGGTAACACTAGCAATAAAAAAAGTCGAAAAAACTATTAAATTGTCATATTAAACTTTAATAATCAAATAAGTTAATTGAGTTTCGTGTGTAAACAAATTTGAATACAGTGAAATCTCCTGTTATGGACACTCCTGAAAAACGGACGCCTCTCAATACGGACATATTTTTAATTCCCCGGGAATCTTCTATGAATAAACCATTGCGTACATTCTCCGCAAAGCGGGCACTCGGTAACCGGACGCGGATAGTCATTTTGGTTCTGAAACATTGTTTTTTATCTCTACAAACCGGGCACTACTTTTTCAAAATAAATTGCAAGCTAAAAAAAAACAACTTTTCACCATTTTTAAAGCATGTAAATAAAACTTTTTGCTTTATCCCTAACTAAAAATATTGCTCAGCTATTTCACCACCGAAAAATCAATCTTTCCCCTGTCACCTTGCCTTATCTTTGTAAAGAAAGGAGAGAAAATGGTACTGCACTCCTGAAATAATTCTGACATCGGCATTTTTTTTTTGATCTTTTCATCTGAACCACACAGGTTATGAGACCCCTCAAGTTGAAATGACTTCTCTCAATGCTTCTTCCCCATTGAAAATTTCTTTAATTTTCTTATCAATTTGAAGACTGTATTTAACACAACTGGGGTAAAAAAAAGAGAACAGAAGTATAATCTTTGAGGTGTTTATATAAATGAAACATTTATTCAGACACTTGATAGCTGATCAATTGTGAATAATCATCTCCATAGGTCCTCATGACTTACAGGTATGCATTACTTTTTTTTCTGTGAATCATGGGAGGTTTATTTTCCAAGAAGGTATTAACCATGTTCCCTATCAAATGATAAGTAGGTGTAAGGGGATGTGAACCTAATAATTGAAACGGACTGAGGACAGTACGCTCCTATTTGGTATCATATGTCTAACTTGAGTATCTATGCTAATAGGAAAATTATATTTATTTATCTGTAGCTACATCCAGAATTATGTATTTATATCAAACTTCTTTATATATTCTTTTTTATCTTTCTTATTGTTTAAATAAATATTCTTGTAGATATTTACAGTATCCTTGTAGATATTATTTAATTATTTCTACATCTTTGAGAATATTCTAAAAACAATTTACGGTGTTAAATTTCGTTATTAGGGTACCCTTCCCGTAAACGGACAACTCTCATAAACGGACAAATTTTTTGGTCCCATGAATGTCTGCTTAACGGAGGTTTCACTGTACATATATTTTTTTGAAGATGTGTAATTTAATAACTGTCAAAAAAATGCTAGAAACCCACATGTATTAACAAGGATGTCGTCACAAGACGGTGTAATGTAAACAAATTAAGTTTTGTCTTCGGCAGACGCTTCTTCCATTATTCGTCCGAAATTAATATTCTACGTTCAGCTGTATAGACTATATATATGTATGTTGCGTCTCTAATTTAATAGCAAATGCTGTTTATTTTTGAAAATTTTAATTTTTTTGTATTATAATTTTACAGTGTTGATCATAATCTTGTATCTATTTACAATTTAAAAACTCCTTGAAAAAGTTTTTTGCAATAACAGGGCCCCATTTGCACAAATTCATAAAAGCACAACCCTGGTTGAAAGAATGTGACTTAACGTTTATTTTATATTCACAAATTGCACTAAGTAATTTTTTCATAATTTTACAAAAACAGGACCTTTACAAAATGTCTGGACAGACCCCTGAAAATTTTTTACTTTATTATTCTTTATTTTTCATTATTCTTTTTCTCCGATGAGCAATAAAGGCATGTTTTGCATATAATTCTAGTGAGAGAAAAAATTTCTTAACCAAAATGTTTTAATAATTCTTGTATACTTTCAAATGAGAATAGAAAAATCACGATTTATTTCCCCCTTGATGACAACTTGCTAAAAGATTTGAAATGTCTGCATTTCAGGGAAATAGTATTAAAGGATACTTTAAATATTAGGATATTTTTACATTATTGATACGGGAAATAAAAAAGGACCAAGCGAGAAAGACTTGATATTCACAGAGGATATAAAAGCATAGTGCTTGCATATTGAATAAAACTTTTTTAATTATTTAAAATGTAACCGTTTCTAGCATGAAAAATAATGTAGTATATATCACAATAGCTTAAAAATTTCCAAATATATAATCCAATTCGCATCTTCAACTGATTTTTGCAGCTTTCTTAAGGTTTAGTAGCTTTAACAATCACCTAGTGTGCGGCCCTTGAGATTGACCCTGTTCTTTCACATAGACGACAACGATTAATATTATCCAAAATGACGAAACATTGAATGCATTTATAAATATAACGTTATATATATAAATAAAGTTTCTCGTTTCCAAATAGAAAAATTTTATGAATAATAGAAAAAACATAAATTTCTAAAATCGTTTATATATTTTTCAAATTATTATTTCACTTATTTATAAATTTTTTTGTTGCTTTTTTTAAAGGCTAAAAGAGGTGTTAAAAGAAAGGCAGATACAACAACGCCATCAGCTGATATTGTTAAGGTGGAACCTGAATTAGTTCCTAAAGATATAAAATCTGCCAAAGTCTCTACTCGTAGGGAGAGTGGAAGACCTATTAAAAAACCATCTAAAGATCTCCCTGAACCACCTGTAAGTGATAAAGAATTTACTGTAAGTTGGTATTTTTTATTATATTTCTTTATAAATTTTTGTATTGCTTCTGCATATGTTTAAGTTAGAATTTTCTATACATTTTAGTAAAAACAAAAATTGTTGATGTAACTAACTCCATTTGCCCAAACAACAAAATTCAATTTTCACTTATATTAGCCTATATTAATTTAATCTTTTTCACACCAACTTTAATCAAAATCATTTTATAACTGATTGTGTGTGTGAAGGTAGAAAATGCTGAATGACATCTTATGCTATTGCTTTTGAAAAAGGTAGAAGTACATTCTTATTCATCAATGTGTGCAAAGTGTCTATACTCCATAATAAGCTGAAGTAATTTTCCGATATTGATAAGATAAGTTCTTAAATTGAGGATTTCAGTAATGTGGTTATGCTTTTATCTTAATGTAGTTTCTCAGTAATGTGGTTATGCTTTTATCTTAATGTAGTTTCTTAATATGATTTCTTATACAGTAGAGAACCATTTATCCGGTATCCAGATAACCGGGAAACCAGAAAACCGGGAAAAATTTTGCTTGATTTTCCCGCCATTTTAATCTAGAACAATTTTAAATTAGAACGAAAAAAGCGGAAATTTGACTCATCCTTGAAGTTGAGTAGAGGAAAATGTAAGGAAGGGGAAAATTTATTCCCCCGTTTACCCAGAGAAACGTCATTTCCTCCGTGACCTTGAAGGCAGGGAAGGGAGGAATGTTTTATTTTTTCCTTTAGGCCGTCAATCAAACTCAAGGGTGTGGCATGCTGATTTCGTTTTCTGCTTGATTTACGAGGGGGGTGGGGAAAATGCATTGCATGCATATCAGTGAACAGAAAAAGAAAAGAGAAAAATATATTTATTTGACATCGACTAATAAAAATAAAATCTTTTTCTTTTGAATAAATTCTTATTCTTTGGAAGTGCGGTATCAATTACAAGTTTTTCTTGGTGTGGAATCACATCTGCTGTAATTAAAAATCTTGTTTTTATCAACAAAAAAATAAAATAAAAGGAGAATTGTTTATTATTTTAAACATAGGATTATTTTATGAAGCAGATTGCAGTTTTGTTTTTCTGATTCCACTACGTTTGATTTTTTTTCTTTTCGNCCTTACTGTAGAATTAGCTAGAAGAAAATTGTTTTGAACTTAGTTATAAAAAAGACTTATCTGTACACATTCCTATGAAAACTGCTGCGGTCTGTGCATTCGCTTTTAAAGCTTTCAACAATGATTTTGGATTTGTATTCTGTGTCTCAATATTAAAAGTGTTCATTTGGAGCATTTTGTAGCTTTTTGAAATTTAAAAATAAGTTATTATGCCTCATTGTTCAAAATTAAATTTAAGCCAAATCCATGTCAAATTATATGTTTTTGCCATTTAACGTTTTATTTTTTGCAGCAGCCTTGTGGAAAGCCTAAGAAAGGAAAACTTAATGAACAGCTAAAATATTGTAATGTAGTATTGAAAGAACTCTTTGCTAAGAAGCATGGGGTAAAGTAGTCTTTTGCTATTAATATTGTCGAATCCAAACTTATAATTGTTTCTATTTTGAACTCTGATTTTGCTTATGTTTGCACATGTGTCCAATACTAAACGTATTGTAAGTACAGGATTCATAACATTCAATAAATAAATAAACTTTTCTATTTACCTGTATTTGTATGTCTCTATATTTACCTAATTCTGTAAGGAAAAGTATACATAGTTTGAATTTAGACTTAAATAAGGGGTTAGAAGGTTCACTATTTAACAAAGATAATGTTTTTCATTAAGTCTAATCACTTGCTAAATTTAAATTAATTGTTAGCTTGATCAAAATTAAGTATTAAGTGAACAAATTTTCTATGATTATGATATAAAAGTGTAACTTAATGAAAAATTAGGTAATGAAGTACCTCCTATAAATGTTTTCCTTTAAATATATTTCCAGATTTTTTTCTTGAAGATAGAAATTTATTTTTCTTTAAAGCATAAATAACTGCTAACAATCCATCGTGACACTTTTCAGAGAAAGATCCATTATTATTTGGCAACTTCTCAGAAATTCTAATTGCAGTTATAAAAGAATAAGTCATCCAATTATTTGGGAAATAAAGTTAAGAGGATTTCACCAAGGCAAACCTTTGACTGACTTAAATATGGTTGCAAGTTAAAGAAAGAATTTGGTTTCTGATAGGATTCTTCTTTAATGGATATTTTAATTGGGAAAAGAATTAAAGGTTAAAAAATATGTCATGTCCATTTAGTTAAAACTAATTTCCTTGCTTGTGGACTTTTAAAAAAACAATGATTAGAACATGTATTTTATGTTCCAACATTTCCTATAAATTTAAGCAAAAGCACCTTTTATCTACAATTTTTTGTTGTATTTGTTTTAAAACAATTAGCATAGACCTTGCAGCTGTATATTTGTTAAAATGAAACCAAATAGATAATTCTCAATAAATAATTTACTCTTTTATAACTTTATTCTTTTTTTTTTTCCTCAAAAAAGAATCTGGGTAAAAAATTTCCTTTTGTTACCCAATTTGTGTGATTTTTTACCAGAAACGGTACATAGAGAGATACAGTCATTCTAATTTTTTCATTTGTTTATTAATAGGGTAATCTAAAAAATAAGTAATTTTCCCCCACAGAATAATTGCATTTGTTAGCTCAAATGTATGTATTTTTTCTGTTTTGCCTTTGCCTAGAAAAAAGAATTTATGTGATACTTGTTCAGTAAGAGTTAAAAGCAGTCTGGTAGATCATTTGATGCGAAAAATATCAGAGCTTTTTAAGTTCAGACAAATTAGCAAAGTGTATGGATCAAATGCCATGAGTGTTTCCATAAAGTGTACATGTGAACTAACTTATTGGGTGCCAATTTCCATTACCTACCTTAATGCCCTCTGAAATCCTTTCTTGCTGGCAAATAATTTGCAGGTCAGATTGTTGCAACCACAGGTTACTCAGTTGTTACAATCATAGGTGACTTAGTTTTGTGATGAAATCGCCTTAGTTCTGTGATAATGGTCTAATTAATGTTGTCTATGTCAAAAAATAGTATGACCCTTTGTTCATTATTAAATAGTTTTAAATTTTTGTTTCACTTATTTGCTTTGCTAAATGAAACTTACTTTCTATTATAGATTACCTATATGTATATAATATTTAAAAAAATGTATATAATTAAAAATAATAATAATAAAAGAACAAGGTCTTTATCATGATTTTATTTTAAATCTTAGGGCTATGCATGGCCATTTTACAAACCAGTTGATGCAAAACTTCTGGATCTACCAGATTATCATGAAGTTATTAAACATCCAATGGATCTAGGTACTATCAAGGTAAGATGAATAGTTTTTTTCAGGGAATTTTTATTTTTTTGAAGTTTGATTACATTTACTGTTAAGTATATTTAATGGAGAAAAAAATTTATTTATAAATTTTTTTCCTTCTGTATTATGCATTCTTTTTGGTTTAATAAAATCTAATTTGATATGGACTGATTTTAGTTACTTGTACCCTTGCTGAATTGCATTATATGTAGGGTTGCTACACTACCTGGAAAATCAGGGAATTAAACATTTTTAAGCCAAGTGCCCAATTCTATAAAAGTCAGGGAGTTATGATTTGATGATCGCCAAACATGTGTTCTTTAGGTTAGCATTTCTCTTAAAACAAGCAGCAAGAGTTTAGTTTCACCCATTTGCAGACTTGCCAACTCTCCTGCTTTTAGCAGGAGTCTCCTGCTTTTGCCTCAAATCTCCTTCAGGGTGTTTTCTCCTGCTTTTTTCTATTTAGTGCAAGATAGAGGAAAAAAGCAACAATTTGTGCAATTTCCTTCCCAACTTGTGCTTCAGATCATGCTGGGCATTTATTTAGAAAAATTTTGCCCCATAGCAACATCACTAAAAATTATGGTGAGTGTGAACCAAAACAGCAGCAATAACCAATGAAATGGCAAAATCGGAGATATCTTGGACACCATTAGGCAAAATGTTTTTTCACTTTCTATAGATGCCAGTTTTTTTTTAAATAATGCTAAATCAGCAACATCTGCAGTTTTAAAACAGTAGCAGTTAAAAGAAAATTAAGAAATACATTTATAAAGTATTGTATTCATTATTGACATATTTTGTTAGTTTTGAACTTTAGGAAGTGTGAATCAGGTTTAATTTTCAATATTGCGCTATGCCGTGATACAGAAAGAGTCTCCTGCTTTTTTATTTTCTAAAGTTGGCAGGTCTGCATTTGATATGGACCCAAGTTTCACAGAACTGTATTATTCCATAGTTTTGTGACTTAGAAATCTTTCAACTGGGAAAAAGTTTTGGTTGATTAAATCCATAACAGATGAATTCAGGGGTCTATCCAGGGTAAATTTACTATCGTTTAATGGTACTTTCGCAAGGAAAAATGGTGGTTTCAAAAATAAAGCACGTTCCCGTTCTAGTGGCAATCTATGAAAAAGAGGAGCTTTTCTGTCAGCTGTCTTTTACGAAAAGGTAGCACTTGTTTAGCCAGATAGTGCAATGTGGTATGCCTAACCAATCACTTATGCCATATCAAAGCCAAACTTTTCTTCTGAGTATTTATTTATTTATTTTTTTATTTATTTATTTATTTATTTTTTATTTTTTTTTTGTTAATAAAACAATGAGGCTCTCCCTCTATAAACTTTACGAGGAGTCAAAATTTGAACTTTATCTTAAACACTGTTGTAAATTTATTCTAACAAACCTTCATTATTATATTTTTTATGAGCCATTTTTTTCTCTGTGAAACTTTTCTGTATGACTCAGTTGAAAATGTTCTCATAATTAAAATAACTTATTGTATTAGTACTGTTAAATGCATGTTTTTATTAAATTCAAGTTGAAATTTAATTATGGAGACTTAATTTTTATGGATTTTGAAATTTAGATACAATTTTTAGCTCAAAATTTTATAATAGCAAAATTTTTTTTGAAGAAATAAAAAATTTAAATTTACCAGTAATAAATTATTTTTATTTGTAGTGACAATTTTTGAAAATAATTTCTTACTTTACCATATTTTTGTGTTGATTTTTTAATATAATTTTTCATTTTTACAAAATAGATTAAAAAAAAAAACTTAGACAGACCCCTGGAACTTCAGATTGTCTATTCTTATTTTTTATTAAGAAATTTATTGGGATAAATGACGTTCCATATTCTATTAAAAGTTATTGCCTTTTATTGTTAATTTTCCTAATCCTCTATCATCAAGGTTTGTTATATGAATTCAATTAAACTTGTTATTAAGAACTCGTGGGAAGCATGGAGATTGCTGTTACTCTTGAAAATTATAAAGCATAACTATAATATCCTGGAGGTCAATCCAGGTTTGTTTTTTTTAGGCCGCAATTTTAAGAAAATTGAAGTTATTTTTTCCGAATATTTCTTAATAAATAAACTTTTGTTGCAGCAATCACTATTTTTTATTTATTTATTGTCAGCCCACAATTTTTTTTTATCGTTTTTCAAATTAAGTCAGGTTTGCTTAATGTGTTATTACGCCGTGAGAATTTTGAATTTGGCGTGCCAACTTCAATTTTGAGTTTAATCCCCCCTCTGGCGTATTGGATTAGTTACAATTCAGTCAATCTTAATGTTTGCTGATAGTTTTTTTTCCCCAACATTTATACATTTTTCAGCCCTTTCTACATGGTTTTTCAAATACTAATAATTTCTATACCATGTTATTACGGTATTTGAAATTTAGTCACCCTGGTTTGATTTGTTCTATTCTTGATAATTCCGTCGTAATTTTATGTGTCCTCATTTGGACTTTTTCTCACTAAACCCTACATTCGATCAATTGTAATTTTACGACTTAGGCTGAATGTGTTATTGTTTTTCATTCACTGTTTTTCGGCCTTTTCCACTTTCGAATTTGAGTTTAGGTGGGTCCAATTCCTGATGAATTTGAATGCTGGATCAACCCTTGATTAAATTAAACTAGATACTAAATATAATTAAATAGGAATTTTTCATCAGGAGTTTCTACGATTGACTTAAGAATTGTGGATTTCAAACAAACATTATAGTTTTCTGTGTTGGCTGAGTGAGACTTAAATAATTTTTTTTTTTTTTTTTTTTTTTTTTTTTTTTTTTTTTTTTTTTTTTTTTNTTGCTTTTTTTTTTTTTTAATATTTTTTTGTCTTTACAGCCATTTTTTCTCTGAATTGTGGTATTTTTTTTAATTGAAATAAATTATACAACGTAATATATAAATTACTAATATTAAATTTTCGTGATATATTTTGACCATGGTACTGCCAGTACAAATTAGGCTGTATACTGATGAGAGTGTTATGAGACTGGAATTTTTTTAAAAATATGTCTGCAAAATCTGAAAAAGTTGGGAATTCAAGTCTTCTAATTGATTAGCAACCCAGTATATAGTGTAGAAATTTCGTGATTATAAAAATAATTTCTTTCTCTTCATAATATTTCATTTATTAGAATATTATTTCAATATAGTTAAAACATAATTTTTGATATTCCATCAAATAAATTTTGGTATAGATTGTTGTCAATTAGATAAAATTAATTTTTATTTCTGAGCATCTATATCTGTATTAGGTCTTTTTCCTTTGTCAAAATGTTATAATTAGGAAAGAGATGGTACCCATCTTACCCTCTTTGTATGACAACAATTGATCAAAAGTAAGTGAGGTTTAGAAACCACTTTTAATATTAAAATAACTAAAAAATTAAAATTGATTTAGAATTCTGTCTAGTTGCAGATGTTGTGTGGGGAAGAGTTTTTACTTTTTAATTGTTAGTCTGCAATTTGAATTTCTTTTTAAAATTGAATTAAAATGCTAATTTATTATTTGCAGAAAAAGCTTGACAATCATGAATATAAGTCACCAGATGAATTTGCTGGTGATGTACGGTTAATTTTTACAAATTGTTACAAGTATAATCCTCCTGATCATGAAGTTGTAGCCATGGCAAGAAAACTCCAAGTAAGACATTTTCTAATAAAAATATTTTCGATTTTGTTTTCCAAGTGTGAGTTATTCAGGCATGTGGTTTTTTTTTCTTCATGGAACTCCATAAATCAGAAATTTAAGTTGCACCACAATTTGCGCCGAGTTCCGAGAATTGATAATTTATACTGTGTTAAAGTTCCTGCTATTCAACCTGAAAAATCAGTTAGAACTTTTGAGAAATTCGGCAAATCTTAAATTTAATCTGCACCCTTTTTTCTCTTCTACCTGGCCTCTTTTCTTCCCCTTTATTTCACAAAAATAGCTTTGTTGATGCTTCTGGCGAAGAGAAAAGAAATTTCCTTTATCTCTCCACCACAAGAAGACTTTAAACCAGGGTTCGTGATTATTTTGATTTTTTTTTTTTTAAATCAATCCGATTTTTTTGATTTAAATCGGATTTTTTAAAATTTTTATTCGAACACATTGTAAGAACTTCAATTTATAATTAAAATAATGTTTATAAATGTTTAGTCAAAATTAAATTATTATTAAAACTATATTATAACAATATTATAACAATATTTTAGAAGCTCTGACTTATTAAAATAATTTTTCATTATAATGCATAGTTTTGAATGCATAGCAACCATTTTGAAAAAAATGCATGATTGAAATTTAAGGATTAGATGAAATAGAAAATATAAATTATACTTAAAACAAGGTTTCAATTAGCAAACCAAAATTTTAATTTCAAATTGTGATTTCTTTTTTTCATGATTTTTAAAATGACAAAATCAATGTATCAGATTGTGTTTATAAATGTAGTCATTCATCAAAAAATAAATATTTAATCTATATATTTTTATATTAAAATATTAATTTTTAATCCTATATCAAAATAGGTGAGTTAAGCTTAAAAAAATTAAATCTATGTGCTCATTGGAATTTTTTTTTTCCACAAAATTTCTTTATAGAAAAACTGATGAAGAAAAAGATACTGTAAACATATTGCAAGAAAAAAAATACCAGTTAATAACCCTACTGCTTCAAATAGACTTTGAAAGGGAAGAATTACACGATAGCAGGAAAAAAATATCTAAATTCATCAGCTGAATTCATTTTCCTTTTTCTATTTTTGGCTTAATAAGAGAAATTTTTTTAAATAAAACCTCAAGCTTTAGAAATATACATTTTCCACCAATAAAATATAATTTAGATTATAATTCCATGCCTTTTCAATCTAACGGTAGAATTTTAATTAACATTATTTGCACTTCTTTTTTGAAAAAAAAATCATGTTTATTAATAAATTACTTTCTACAGCTATGCAAGTTTACATTAAGACAGCATTAAAAGTTTACTTTAATCTGTACTTTCAATCTCAAGAATCAAAATATTTTTAAAAACTTAATTTCAAATGTGTTGGAATTTAGCACACACCAAGAAAGAAATTTCGTTAACTAAAATTAATTAATGCAGCAATTTATTTAAAATAAATTTTAAAACTAAGAAAAGAAAATAACAAAATTATCAATTATTTAAAACACTGTTTTTGAACTTTTGATATCAATATATATAAATAATTTGTTGATTTAAATCTGATTTTTTAAAAAAAAAATCATTTGATTTAAATCAACGAACCCAGCTTTGAACTAATGGTTGCCTGAAGAAAGTGCCATACCAATCCGCATGCGCTCAAGCTACTTTCTCTAGGCATTCAATTACTGACCGTAATTTCAATATGGTTGAAAATCTCATATCCAAAAATCGGCAAATCTGGAATGCAGATATAGTTTTTTTTTTTTTTGTCATATAATACGTCTTTAAATAAACAGAAATCGAAACATTCTTTATTTAAAAATTAATAAATGACGAATTAACATCAATTTTTATGCAATAAAATTTTGTCTTTAAGAAAATTCCTGTTTCGAATTTCCAAGAGAAATAAATTTATTTTTTGCACTTTTTCCTACTAATGCAATTGTGATTAAAAATTACATTCACACCATTTTAATTGTAATCAAACATCGCAATTCATATTGATTCGATGGGATTTAAAATTATTCATCATGATTTATTTTCAAATGATTTAAGAATCACGCATCGAGATTGTTTCTTAACACAATTTTTCACATCAAGATTCATGGTCAAAGTTTTTTTTATTTTTTAATCCAGTTTTGTTTACACACTTATAAGAAAATGGCCTAATTTGAAATTCAGTTTTGAAACTAGGCAACCCTATGGTTCCTAAAAATGTTCTGATCATTTCTTGTTTTTGACAATCACATGCCTGGTTATTAATTATTCATTAATTTATATATATATATTTGTTAATTTACATATTTATTGTCATTGTAAATGGTAGGTGCAAATTCAAATCAAAGGCATAATAAAAAAATGGCTCCTATGTTCTAAACATCTATAACTGTTATTTATGAACCAATTTTCTAAATTTTAGTTTAAAAATCTAGAATTTTTCGGCTCAGTTTTTTTCCCCATCTCTTATAATGTCCTATATCATAATTTTTAACATAAAAAGAATAACGAGTAAGTTTTTGTCCCTAAAAGTAAAAAGTGATTTTACGTAAAATACAAAACTTTTCTTCGCTTTTTTCGCATGTTAAAGTTATACTATTTATCATTTTAAAAAAATTATCGACCAGTAGCATTTTAGTCTACATTTTTCATTATTTTTTTATAGTAAAACGAAATTTCATAATCTTATTAAAAAAAAAAAACACCCTCTTGATTTTTTTTTATATTGAAAATGTGTCATTTATTGATAGAAGATAATAATATTGTGGTCAAAGTTGCATAAATTATCCAAAAATGTTAAAATATTTATGTTATTTATTTTACTTTTTTATGGTAAGTATAACACTCAAGTTATTTACTTCAAATATTTATTACTTCTTAAGGATGTTTTCGAAATGAAATATGCCAAAATGCCAGATGATGCTGCACTTAATGATCCAAATCTTAGTTCTGAAAAAACAGAAGATTCTACACAAAGCATGTCAAGTGATGCATCATCTGAATCATCATCTGAGAGCGGATCTGAAGACAGTGATGAAGAAAGAGAAAGGAAGCTAAAGGCACTGCAGGAACAAGTACATATATTAATTATACTCATATCTTTATTTTACTCGTGCTTACTTATACTAATATTTTTCAGGGATAAAAAAAATTCTGCGGAAGAGCGGAAATTCGCTTTTTTTCCTCCCAATTTTTAAAATTTACATCAATGTTTCAAAAACTTACTTTTTTGGGGTCCTATTAAACCCCCATCAGCTGCGGCAATCTCATACTATTAAGCTAGGCAGAAGTGAGTAGTCTTTATCGATAGATCTCTATTTTAGTATTTTGTCGAAGGCGCTTTTTTTCACGAATTTATATATTACGAATTTATTTGACGATTTTTTATTTATATCACGAATTATACAAAAGCACATTTCTAATAGGTTTAACGAATTACATGTCATTTATTTGAATTCAAATTTATTTTTATGACTTAGTATTTACTAAACTGTCTGGATATAACTAGCTTGTGCGTTGACGTGCTTTCTCGTCGGAAAATTTATTTCCAGTTTTTATGGTAAATGCTCCTCCCAAACTGCAAAAATCCAAACAATAGTTGTACTTGGAATGAACTTTTTCCCTCCGGAGAAAGAACGATTGTCATGAGAAAATACTGGGAGCTTTGGCAGATGCGTGGTTGCCTTACCAGCATTGACTTCTACTGTAGGGAAGGATGAGATTCGTATTCTTGGTTGTTGAGTTTTAAGCAGTTTCGGCCACCTATGTTTGATCCAGGATTTTTCTTGGTATGACGTGTATTGAATTTGCGCATCCGTGCATTATACTTCTCCGCTGGTTCTTATTTTTTGCAGTTCCTGCATTAGCCCTTGCACATGTTTGTTTTTGGTTTAGTTGTGTTCTTTTCATGTGGTGCATCGTTAGAAGATGTATTGTAATGCTGGAAGTCAATTTGAAAGAAGAAACCAAAGTACGTATGATAGATTCTGCTGAAGCAAAATAAATTCAAGTTTGGGTAAATAAAATATTCAAAATGACTAAAACTGTTAGTAACTGTCTATCAGGAGATATTGGGATGAAAGTTAGTGGCTGTTTTAATTTAAAATGATTGACTGGCAATTAATTTAAAATGATTATTAAGTCTTACATATAGCTTAATATTATAAACGCTGGAAGTTATGTTTATATCATTATATTACATAGAACACTGTCTATGTAATATTACCAGTGTCTGCATTGTTAAAGTTGAGCTTTTTTTATTTTTCACATTCATGCCTGATTTTTACAGTCTGTCTCAAAAATGTAAACACATGGCGAAATTCCTTAATGCAGGGTTGCCACAGGCTACTAAAATGCAACTATTTGCTACTATTTTCGGCTTTAGGTGACTATGAAGAGACTTTTTACTCTTGGCAAAGTTTTTTCGCAAAAATGAACGTTACTTTTCAGAACCTTAGCAAAAGAAAGCAAACTTTTATTACAATCATTTATGTCCTAAGAGCCAAAAATTTAAATTTCCATTGGATTTAATAAAGTACTTGTTATATGTTCTCTCTGAGGGGCAGTTTTGTTATTTTTAATTGTTTTTTCCTTCTATTAACATTCATATTTTATTGTAATTCGACTTTTATTTAGGTACCTATTTTCTAATATGTATACCTTTTATATTTGTACAAAACTTTTTTTTAATTGGAGCATAGTTAGGACTGGGCGATAAATCGATGTATCGCGAAATATCGATTTAACGCATATATCAGTAGGCCGATGTAGTGACTTTCGTTTTAGGCGATGCATCAGAAATCTGATTTAAGCCGGCGGAATAAGATAACAATTGCAGTTTAACGATTTAATATGCAAGGATCCTTGACCAGGCTAACGCTGTTACCACACTAACGAAGACGATTTTGATTTCGTCTAGCTGCAGAGATGTAGATAGCGTTTTGCTATTAAGATGTTAGTTTCGTGATGTTAAATGACGAAGAGCGAATTAAATCAGAATCTCTCTTGAATATGATGATGTCACATGACAATATCGAGTGACATTAGTGCAGGAGTGGGGGGGTATACAATATCAATAGTTGGAATCGATATTGTATCATGCTGTTTTTATATTTTTAGTACATATTTTTCAACAGGTGACAATTGGATCGTTCTTTTTTTTTCAACCTTTGGCATCATGCTGTTGTAAACTAGTTTGTTTACAAAAGCAACGTGATTTTTGATTTGTTGATAAAGTAATCTTTTTATGTTTCTTTCATTTTCTATTATTTTTTGAAGAAAAAGAGCATTAATTTGTGTGATTTTATTTGCCTTGCATCATTTTTTTTAACTTAGTTAAATTTTTTATACATACATTAGTATTGAATTGGTTTTTTAAAATAAAATAGCTCTTAGATTTGTTTATTTTTTGAAAGTTTTTGTGCATTTTTATTACAGTGTCAAGGGTTTTTGAATAATGTTTTATAATGAAAATGGTATTTATATTTTAAATAAAGAGTATCTACCCAATATATTTTTGCGTTGCTATGTTTGTGGAATGTAAAGGAAAAATTAGCTAATGGATTGAATCTGTGTTTAAATATTTTATTTCCATTTAATACTTTTCCACAATTTGTGCTCTATTAGTGTGTAAAATTTCTTGCATTCTTATTTAATAACTTTTTTACTCAAAATTCATTAGAAGTGTCAAATGTCACATACCATACACCATTTTTACCCCTCCTGAAATCTCCTGAATTCTTGTTAGGGAAACTCCTGAATGTTAATTTTGCTAGGTTGGCATGTCTGGAAGTAGTAAGATGCTTAAAATGGCAGTTTTTGAGAAAAACTAGCTCATAATTTTTTAACTATTGCCACAATTAAATTATTGAAGTCTCCAATAGTTATCAAGAGAATTACACATTAAGTTCAGCTTATAAGACAGCTCCATTCACATACTCTTAAATTATACCTTATTTTGAACACTATTATAATTTACATTTTCAATTTTAAAAAAATCAATTATAGTGTTTTAATCTTCTTGAAACACTGTATACAATATCTATCTCTTTTTCTGGCGTTTACCAGCAACTCCTAATTTTTATCACAAGGGCCGCAGGGCTTCAAGTGCTGCACACATTGCGCATTTTGCGCCAAATCGGTATATTTGCGCATTGCTGCGCAGAAACTGCATTTTATGTTACATTTGCGCCGAATCTGCGCCAAAAAATTTTCGGGGACCAACTAAACATTGCCAAATTTTAATATCATAAGAAATTTTTTTTTCTCTTGTTGATTTCATCGTTATTGAAGTGCCATCGTCTTCGTCAATGGCAAGGTAATGGCCTTCTTGCGCTATTCTATTTATAGATTAGTACCATGATCTTTGAATTAACTAGGGGACCATCCACTAAGTACATATTTTCATGTTGATCCTCAGAACAGTCAAGAATCACAAAGCTTAAGAACTTTAAACTTTCCATCTCTCTTTTATTCATTTCATTTAATAAAGATAAGAATTAATTGAGTTTCATAACGTAAATTTTTTATCTGTGGGACCATCCACTAATTGCATATTGTTTTTAAACAATTATTTTACTTTTTTTTACTAATATTTTTTTTTACTTATTGCATTTTATTATTGTGTTATTACCTTCAAAATTTTCAGTGCTCTTATTTTGTTTTAGGAAATAACTTAATAATATTTAGAGGCAAGATTTTAAATAAGTATGAAGAGAGGGGTTTTCAATATTTTAAATGCAGCAAAAAATCTTATGTTTTTCAGATTTGTCATTCAAAAATACTTTAATTCATCTCTTAATGATTTGATTTAAAGCAACTGATATAAAAAATTTTAATTATCACAGATTTGCTAAATATTATGAGTGTAGGGACAATATAATAATTTACTTCTGAAAAAATTTTTTTAGCTTCAATACTCATTGTATTTGCATTTAAAAATTATTTAATTTTTTTTAATCATTTCATTAATGCAATACTTTATAAGTAACCAATTTTAATAAAAAATTATTAGGGGCCATTCACTAATTTACATTTGTAATATAAATTTATTAAAGTTTTCTTAATTTGCTTAATTCTTTACATATTTTTATAAATTTGGTATGATCAATATTAACCCTGTTAATGTTTTGTTGAATATACTATTACAAATTACATTTATTTAAATTTTAAGAAAATTACACTCGATGACCTTAAATAATAGTTAAATTAATTACAGTTTTGAATTACCTTTTACAGAATTAAGGAAAGTAATTATTAATTTAAAAAATAGTATGAGCCATTCAGTATTGAATTTATTTAAATTTCTTTTGCCAAAAGCTCTTTTTTTTTTAAGAAATATTTCTTAAAAAAAATATATCAATTGAGATTAAAAACTGAAACACTATTGATTCACTTGCCGTATGATGAAATGGTGTTCCTAGTTAAAGCATTGTTAGGGCGTTTTTTGAAGAGTTCTGCTTTTCATGTTTGTCAGGAAAGGACTTAAAATCATTGAATGTAGAAAACGCAGAAAAATTAAACAAATTAAAATTTGATAGATGTTGGACTAGATACCACAAAGATGATGACATCCTCATCTTCTTCAGAAAAAAAAAAAATTATGTATTTAGGTGCAAGGTCTTTTTACTTGGCATGCGCAAAAAATCTATTAAAAGTATTGCCTCTTAAAAATAGATTACTGTACCATCTTAAAGTGTTGCATCCTGTAATGAGAATGGAAGAAACTTCTATTAAGTCAATAAGATATCTAACAACAGTAACCCCATCCATTATAAAGCCTGGAGAGGCATCTTTGTTACTAGATGAAGGGACAAGGTTACATGGGGAACCAGAAAGTTATTCTTCTGATTCAAATGAATATGCACAGATTGATGTGTTTTGGAAAAACTATTTTGTGAAAAAAGATAATTTTGGGAATTATCAAATATCCTCTTATAACATAGCTCTTTTGTGCGTACCACATGGGAATGCCAATATTGAAAGAGGCTTAAGGGTGAACAAAAAGCTACTTGACAATAAGGCAAGTTTAAATTTGCATAGTGTGAATGGTTTGAGAGAAGTTGTGTCATATATCAACAAAATAGGGATTTAAATAACTTTAAAGTTGACAAAGATATGATTAAAGTGGTAGCATTTAAAAATTAATCTGCGCGATTAGAGGTTGAGAAAAAAGAAAGAATAAAGCTAAAAACACTGAGACTGAGGAAAGCAGATTGAAAGCTACTGAAATTGATTTGTAAAAAAAATTGAAGGCTTCTCAGGATCTCTTAGCCGCAGCTGAAAAAAATATTAAAGATAGTTAAAATAATAAAGACATATCAATTATAGAAAGCGGACAGATCCTCTTATCTGAGGCTAAGTCGAGGATAGCAGAATATTAGACAGCATTGGAAGGTACCAAAAAGAAACTTAATTTTTTAATGCAGGGACCTTCAAAAAAGTGTAAAAAATTAGATAGGTTATTAATGAACGAAATTTAAAATTCTTGTTATTAAATTCTTGTTTTAATTCTATTTATTAACTATGCTCCAAATCTTTGTTTTGCTGCTCCAAAATTGCTTTTTTGTTGCTCCAAAACCATCTTTTGCCACTTGAAGCCCTGGGGCCGGTTAAGAGTCTAAAAATTAATTATATTAAAGCTTACCAAGCTACTTAGGTAAATCTAAGGATTTATTGGTTGTCAGGCTTTTGCAGTGATATATAAAAGTATATTAATATTTTGTATATTTTTGAGAGTTAATTTATTTTTATTTTTTTTATAGCTTAGAAAAGTTACTGAAGAAATTAGTAACTTAGCTGCTGAAAGCAGGCGGAAAGATAAAAAGAAAAAGAAACGAAGGAAAAAAGATAGAGATGAACGGAAAGAAATCAAAATTGAAGAGGAATTGTCTCCTATTGAAACAACCACAGCATCTGCACCCATTACCACTCAACCGAAACAAACAAAAGCCGCAAGGAAAAGTACTGCTGGTAAAGCACCTACTGCCAACAATAAAGTCCAAAATCAAAAAAGACAAAGAACTAATAGTAAATCATCAAAAAAAAGTAAACCATCTCTCTCATTTGATAGTGAGGATGAGGATAATGCTAAACCTATGTCTTATGATGAAAAAAGGCAATTAAGCTTAGACATCAATAAGCTACCGGGTAAGCTATGTTTATTATTTTAGTTTGAAAAAGTTTTGAGTCTTTAGAATAAAACAAGTGTTAAAAAATTGCTGTGATTCAGATTTTTTTATGTCAACTAACTAATATCTGAGAACAATGCAAGAAGTCTACTATTATAATAAGTTTCCTGCTCTAATTTGAAAGAGCTATTATTAAAGTTACAAAGGTTGTATTGCTCTATATTTAAAAATTGTAGATGCTGTATCTATTTTGGTTTTCAACTTAACCTACAAATTGTTTTGTTGAGTAGATACTAAATGACTTAACACTAATTGCAAAAGTGTGTAGAAAAAGATACACAAAGTACAATAGAATTTTTTAAAAATTTAACGTCTGACCATTATCGAATATATTTTACGGTTTTGTAGAAGAAATTGCAATACAAGCTACAGGAATGCAAATAAAAAGTTGAAGTTTGACATGCTGAAAAAGCCATTTTTTTTTTTAATAAAATTTTTTTTAAATTTAAGTCTTTTTTAGTTTTTTTTTTTTTTTTTTTTTTTTTTTTTTTTTTTTTTTTTTTTTTTTAAATATTGACTATTTGTCCATTGTTGTAGAAAATTTTTATTTCTCTCAAGATTTTTGTTACTGTATCTAATATTTTTAACTTTTCATTGTTATTTTGAAATTTTATCTGTGTGTTTAAATATAATGGCAATCCTGTCTATTTGAATTGGCGTTACGGTAAACTTAATAATTTAAATTTTCATTCAATGTAATTTTATTTGCTCTAGTTCACTTTCACTGTAAGAAATTATTTTATACTCTACCTAATACATACCTGCCAACTTTTAATCCCTTCCATTATCATTTTTCTCACTGGTATTAAAATGGAATTAAATTTTCTATTTTAAGCAAAAAAATATGTTGTATTTGAATAAACTTCAGCTGACAGCCATGATAGTAACGCATACTAATATATGTGCTTAATTTTTTTAAGAATAGTGGTGATCAAAATCATTTAAAAATTAAGTTTATAAAAGAAAAAATAGTATATATTTGCTACCACTTTAAATATAAAAATAAAATTTTACGCCAAATGCGTAAAAGTTGGCAGGTATGCTAATGTAGTGTTAAAAAAATTTATCAACTGTCCTTCCCCTTGTAATTTTATTAATATTAGTAATAGAAAGAAGTTTATACCTACTCCCAGCATTCCTGATATTTACGGCTCAACTTTTTCTTCATGAATTGAAAATTAAAACTTGGATAGGATCTGATTTTTAAAAAAAAATTATTTCTTTTGAACCCCTTTCTTTTATAATTAAACATTGAATAGAATTTATTTTTTAAAAAATCATTTTGTAGAAGTAGAGGCATTAGCATAGATAGCAATATGACTCCAAACATTTTGTAGATAAGAAATTAAAGTTCCTCTCGTTTTTTAAAAAAATTGTTAGCTGTTGTTAAAGTTAATTTTTCTTTGTGTGATTGTTTAATGTTCAATTATATTATAATTTTTTATAAATCCTAATGATAATTTAACTTAAAAAATAACAATATTAAAATGTTGTTCTTATTGAGTAGTTTCATTGGGTATGTTCTTGCCCCCTTTTTTTTATTAAAATTTTCTATTAAGTTTTGTTCTTCAAAAGATTTTAAGTAGATAATAAATTATAACTTTGTTTGATAACTTGTCTAAAAATTATCCTGGTGAAGAAAATCCTTTTTTTTTTTACCACTAAATTACTCTAGTTCCAATTCTTAACAATAAATAGCAAAGCAAATTATAGTATTTCCAAATAATGTTTTTATAATTAAATATTTTAAGGAATTTTTTTATTGAATTTATTTAAAAGTTGCAAGATAAGCATGAATTGTATATAATATTGTGTATAATTTAAATTTCATTTTAGCTAATATTACATTTCTTTCTAAAAATATTTTTATTACAATTTGCAGAAATAAAATTTATTCCTGTTTGGTTCAGTATAATTAATTTCATAAATTTTTGGGTTACATTAGTCAGGAAAATTAAGTAATTATAAAATACCTTCGTGTTAAACTATTTACTTCACCCTATTTTACCAGAATCGTCTCAATTTTTTTTAAACAATTTAACATTAGTTTTAACTATTTTTTTAGTTGTATTTCAAATTCTGTATTAACAGATTATGTTTTATGTTTAGTGTACTCATTTATAATCTTAGATGTTTTATATTACTTATCAAAACATAACGACAATGGTGCTATGATTTTATGTTCAATCTTTTATTGATTAAATTTTTTAACTTTGTATTTGTATTTTCTAGGTGATAAACTTGGAAGAGTTGTTCATATTATTCAGTCAAGAGAGCCATCATTAAAAGATTCTAACCCAGATGAAATAGAAATAGATTTTGAAACATTAAAGCCATCAACCTTACGAGAACTTGAATCATATGTTGCTTCATGTTTACGAAAGAAACCTCGAAAACCTTACAGTAAGAATACTAATGACAAAATTTAGAATTATACTTTTTTATGATACTATGCATACAGACATTATACCTGTATTATTACTTTCTTATACCTGTCATTTTGAAGTGCTGCGAAGGATTTGTTGTAAAATTTAAAATGGCTAAAAATAAGACTTAAAATGTTCCTATATGTATTTTTAAATTTTAATAACAAATACTTGGTAGAATTATTTCGGTCCTTATTTCTATTCAATAAATACTAATTATAAAATTGTGAATACTTTATGTTAGTTAATTATGTTATATGAATCATGTTCTAAGTATGTTCTTGGAAACGATGTAAGTAAAAATAAAATATACATATTGATTATTTTATTAAACTTGTCACTTTTTTTTCAAACTATACTACTAATTGTTATTTTTTTATCTGATTTGTTTATTCTGTATTTTAGCTACAAAAAATAAAGTTGCTGGCAAATCTAGAGAAGAGCATATGCGTGAGAAAAAGCAAGAGCTTGAGAAACGTTTGCAAGATGTTAGTGGCCAGTTGGGCCAACCTACTAAGAAATCTGCAAAAAAAGGTGTGTATAAATTAGTATTTTAAGTTTCTTAAACCATTTTATCCCAACGACTGTTCCACATGTAGCAAATAATAATTTGTCTCCCCTAATGGGTTATTCTGGTTTTAAAAAAACTTCTCTATTTTCTAACTATAAATAGTCCTGTTCTCAGAAAAAGTCCTTTGGTTTTTGAAGAACTGATTCACCATCTATCCAGACTTAGACAAAAGAAGAATGACCCTTTGTAACAAATTTCTGACTACAAAGAGGGGATGGGGCAAATAGCCTGATTTTTGCATAAATTCACCCTATTTGCATAAATTCACCCTATGTCTTTAACTTTTTAAACACTGATATTGTGTCATTAAAAAAATTCAGTAGCCTGATTAGCAGGCTTGACACTACCTGCCTTTTATACTATCCAGCTAAGTAAAGGGTGTGGAATGTTGGAATCTGCTGTTTGTTAAACTCGTGTGATGCTATGTTTCAAATCAATTTAAATTAGTGAGATTTTTATACCATTAGTAAATTTTAAAAATTTATTGAAGAATGATGTAGTTCTAAATCATTTTTGTCAAAGCAATGATACAAATGGAAAAATATATGGTTTTTAACAACAAAAAAAGTTTTGTGTTTAAATAATACTGAAGCACACATTACAAATTTAAAGCACCATTAAAATTAGAAGTAAGTAATGCTTTTATTTTAAATCCAAATCCTGAAATATCCAAGTACACTGATTTCCTTTCACCTGTACTTTACTATTCATCTTGTAACAAAATTGTTACTAATATTTCATTTTGCACAATTTTATTTTTAAAAAAAAATTTCTAGTGGGCAGTAAGCATCCCCTTTCCCTAAAAAAATATAAAGCCATGATGTAACTTCGTAAAGTATGCCATTTCAGGTGATGAGATTGTGGTTTTATATTTAGAACTCTCACTGTTTGCTTCGAATAATTGTCTTAAAAAAAAAAATTTAATTGCAATTACTGGTTTATTATGTACCGTGATTTATCAAGTGGATAGCTTTGGTTATAGGCAAGTTCAGCTGTAATAAAATTCATAACAATTCTTTTTCTAAAATTTCGTTTCTTACTGTAATTAAAATCTTTTTTTATTATTTTTTTAATCAGATACAGAACATGTAAGCACAGAAGTTGGTGGTGGTCCTAGTCGTCTCAGTGCAAGCAGCAGCAGCTCCAGTGAAAGTGATAGTAGTACTAGTAGTAGTTCTACCAGCTCCTCTGATTCTAGCGATTCAGAATAAGCTTTAACTTTACACTATCCTTGGCCTTAGGACGAAAGAATCTTTTTATTAATATCAGTGATCTGACATTAATTTGTATGGCTGTAGACGAAGTAAGAAACTTATGCACAAACACACTGTGAGTAGCTTGATACAAGAGTTATTTACCTTTGTGTTGGGTGGCTGCATATCTTTGATAATTTTTTTTTTTTTTTCAAAACAATATGTGATCGCATTTCATATTTTAAAATAAATTCATTGAACTTGATAAACTACTGGCACAAGGAACTCTTTTCAGATGTGTAACTTATTCCATCGCCTAAAACAGTCAAGGAAGGGTGTATTGTGTGCTTTTTCATCTGTAAATATAATTTATCATTAAAGTTCATCTCATCTTTTAAAACCTACAAATTGGATCTAGCTTAGGCTATTGATCAACACTGTATATGGATCATTTCATTTGTTCTTGTAAATTTCATTTTGAAGATTGTATAAAGTAAATAATAAAAATCAGGTATCGTCTGTAAAAATTAAATGTTATTTACCGAATTTTGTCTATGTTAACTTTTGTCTTTGTAGATTACTTCTCACATTTTTCGCTGCAAATGATTTTTGTAGCATCCAAACCAGAACATTTTACATTAATTAATAATTTATGTATTTTTTAAATATTTAAAAAAAATCAATTATAGGTATAAAAAAATGGACAAACCTGATCAGATTATTATTGCCTTTAATTTTTTATTACCTTTTGAATTTTTATATTTCTGTTGAAGTTTTGTATAGACTCGGAAAATTATTTCCAAATTTGTTAAATTTTTTGGCTCATTCAATTATTTTGAATGTATTTTATATTGACACCGAATAAAATCTGCTGTATTATTTTTATTTTTTAGTTCCTTTATATACTACTGTCATAAGACAGCAGATTTTTTTTTTCTCATTGTAAACTTGCTTTACTGTCAATAAATTATGGAATTGGCTTAAATGTGTTCATTTGGGTGCTATTCTAAAGAACAATTTTGTTTTTGTCATTAATGTAAACATTCAAAAATGCAATTTATGAGCTTGTTGAAGAAAGTGGAAATTTTGCAATAATTTGTGTCTGTCTATGTGTAAAAGGTATTGTGTTTAAAATCTAAATCTGGATATTTAGATCTGTATATTTGTTTATATGTTTTTCTTTTATTCTGATTTCTCTAAGCAATGTGTACAGCAATATGTATGTCTCATTAAAAATTTATTACACCACTTTTGACGCCATAATGCCATTGATTTACATTTTTGACATTTTCCTCTTGTACTTTTGTAAATTAATAATTTGAATGTATCAATTAAGTGTTTGTTGCCTCTATTTAAATTGTTTTTCCTTATTCCACCAACAGATTCGGAGACACAAATTCTTATAATGTTAATATTATTCAGACATATTGACAAAATAAAATATGAATTTAAAAATAAAAATGCTTACTGTATTATGGTATTTTCCTTCTCAGATGTGACTGCTCCTTATTTATTTATAGAAATTTCTAATTTAATTCTAGGCAATCCACAATTTTTCTGCTGATTTCTAACCGAAAAGCAAACAAAAAAAAAAATAATAATTCTTTCATAATGAAGGATTTTATGAAAAGAAAATTTGAATACATGAACTTTTTATCCATCCCTATTTGCGTTTTTTATGTTGTGTTTATTTCATTTATACGAAGATTACATACTTAAATCAAATTTACGTAACGTATTATAATTATATATAAAATTTTAGGGGACAATCATTTTTACAGCTTTGATCTAGTCTTCTAGGAAAGAAAGTTTAAAGAAACAAAAAATGTAGATTGTCTAGTAATTCTAATGCACATTCACAAGGATTTATTTAATTTACGAAATTTCTTTTTTCGATAACTGAAGGAATTACTGAATGTTAAGTGGCATTTTAAAAACATTGAAATATGTTATTTTTAAATAATGTGTTACATATTGTATGATTCATTGTTTAAAAAATCGCTTCATTCTGTCAGGTTACATTTTTTTTCTTTGGATAAAGTTAAAGATGACTTACTTCATTACAATATTGATGCTACGGTTCTCTTACTTTTTTAAAGACCACACGAATCCTATTAAAATGCATATGTTTACGGGTTTAAAATCCTAATCAAAATAATGGTCAAAACCCAAGTGTAAACCAGTATAATTGTAATAGTAACAGATAAAAACTTCATTGACTTCAAAAAATATGAGGGAAATAAAAATCGACGTGTTTTGAGTGTTCAAATATAAGCACCCATTCTCAAGACTCTTCAGTGGTCAAAGACTTGTGACCTTTATTATTGAACTCTTAAAACATGTCTTTTATTGCTGTTTATTAATTTTGAAATAAATGAAGTTATCTTTTCAATTCAGTTTCTTGGGATTATTTATTTAGTAACACAGTATATTAAATTACTTCACGTGATGTTAAAATAGGTTCTTAGATTGAAGGAATAATAATTAGTCACTACTTTCTAAAAAAATCAATGCAGTACAGTTTTTTATTACTGCTTGCCCTAATAATATTTAATATAATAATACAAAATTCCGTTTACAATTGAAATTTCTAAAGTCTAATGGAATAGTTACAAGGACAAAGCTATTTCAAACAAGTCGGCGTTTTTGTCCTACTCGAAGTTGTTTGAAAGTGTATATTTTATTCATCGATTCCAAAGTTAATTCTACATATATTTGAGGGTATTCTTTATGGGTACTTCGATCAAGTTTATTTTTACACTCTNAACCAGAAGAGGGGGGGGGGCTTGGGAGGTCAAATGATTGAATTTACTTAAAATTTAATTAATACTTACATTAATTAATTTAATCGCGTTTTTTTTTTATTTCGCGCACATTTCTTATCATTTTGATAGATGAGAAAAAAGATTACAAGACGGAAAAATATTGCTCGTTAAAAGCGACTTCTGTTCCATAGACTTAACATTGATCCAACCAAATATTCTCGTTTCCCTCGGTAAATCCGAGCTCGTTATAAACGAGTTCGACTGTAGTTACAAGGACAAAACTATTTCAAACAAGTTAGCGTTTTTGTCCTACTCGAAGTTGTTTGAAAGTGTATATTTTATTCATCAATTCCAAAGTTAATTCTACATATATTTGAGGGTATTCTTTATGGGTACTTCGATCAAGTTTATTTTTACACTCTTATTTGATTAAAATTATTAAATAATTTGCTTAAAATAAATTATTCAAGCTATAAGATTTAATGCGTTTTTAGCTTAATAGTAAATGGGGCTTCTATAGCATATCCTTAACTTTGATACGGCTATCTTTAAATTAATGGAATAATCATAGATAAATATTAGTTTAATTTTTTCTCGTTTTAGCTTTCAATGAATAATATGCTTTGTCCAAACAGATTTCAATTCTGGAAATAACAAAATTATTGAGTAGGTTTCTTGGATCTATATCATTTTTATCCTCTTGTGACGAAATACAGGAAAATTGCTATTCACAGTTTCTGTAAAGTATGTTAATGTGGTATTTTTTTATCAAAGTAATTTCGAAAATTGAGTATTTTTTATATCGTTTTTCAAATCAGATGACAATTCTAAAATTGGCTCTGTTTCGGAATCTTACGAGTTTCAATTTAACAAAAAAAAAAAAAAAACATTTTCCTAAAAACAAATTATACGATAATAATATCTTAGGAATTCTGCTAAAATTAAAAAATAATTTTAACAAAAGTAAATTTTTTCAACATATTTTTTTAAAAGAGCAGCTTTCTTAAAACTGATGGTAAAATAAAATACGTATAACGTCAAATTAAAATTGCGGTTCGAATTTGAGTTGCACTCAAAAAAACCACCACACTAAAAAAAAAAACCGTATTTACTTTTCACAACTGAACAATAAAGTAAATGAATAATTTTTTTATTCAATCTTAGAGAAAAGGGTGTACTTATTTACTACTGTCCTTCAGACGTTTTGCACTGAGTAATATTAACATAGAAAATGTTCTTAAATTAGCTAACTAGCTATTGTTCTAAAACTCGAAGAAAAAAAAAACTAGCAAGTACTTACAACGAGTGTTGATTTAAAGAGAAACTTTAAGTGCCAATAAAAATTACACAAAATAGTTTAGTATATTTTCGGGAAAAAAATCTACGTGGTAGCTTAAAGAAAGAGTAAAAAATATAATAAAATAATTAGTTGAATAGTTCTATGAATCACACGTGACCAGATAATTAAAAACTTAATTTCACAATTAAGATGTTAGATGACATTTAAGATACTGAGATGCTTAAAAATTTTGGCTACATATTGGACAGCTCTTTATGTTCTGTATCTTTATACTCCTTGCAATAACTTAACACTATTTTAGGTTATCTATGTTGAAGTCACAAGAAACAATAAATAAAAAAAATATATATATATCTTCATTTTTCGAAAAAATAATATGCTTAGTAAGTAGTCCAGCTATTATGCATCGAATAATTTTAAACAGCAGAATGTTTTTAATTACTTAACAAGATTTTATTCTCAAGCTAACAGGTAATAATTCTAAGTTTTAGCAAGAACTTCAAAGGAAAAACCAAATTACAGTACTAAAAAAATTTATTAGTATATTAGTCAAAAAATATACGTATCAGCGTAAAGAAACATCGTATTTATTGATTAACAAAATGATTAGCCATCTGTTATTAGCGAAAATAATATGAGTGAAATTTTACACCGCGCGCTTTCTTCGTAAGTTAACCACATTTAAATATTCATCGCCCCATTTAAATATTTTTTCATTGTCGCCAATTTTTTTTTTAATAATTAATTTTAATTTTTAACGGTTTCTACTAAATAAAAATAGTTGAAACTTGAGATTTTTCAATAGAAAAAGATGTAGATTAATATGGTATAAAAAAATCATACCTCATAATTCAAAAATTTTTCATCCTCAATTAAATTAAATAATAAAAAATAGTTATAAAAAAAAATTTTTGCATTAAATTATCTTTGGGTAAATGGGTCTTATGAGTGGATGAATTTTTTTTTTATTACTTAATTAGTTTTAAAAATTGGACTAAAAATACAAAAAGGGAAATTAACAATAAGGGGTCCGAACTTTTGATCGCTCTCCTGACCAAACTATGGTGACCATTAGGACTGGGCGTTATAAGAATTTTTATTTCGTGATGCATCGTCAGTTTTGCATCGCGATATAGTATTTTTGAAATTCATTTACTTGTAAGGCGCAGAAAGTCGGATTTCTATCAAAACTTTATACTCAGATTGATTTAAATCAATTTATGAATTTGATGTATATGTTTTGCTTAAGATAGATATTAGTGTTATATTTTCTAAACATGATGGCGCAAATAACGAAAGATTTATTAGTTTAAAAATAAAAAATTAATAAAATTGAAATTTATCAAGATATTTACCTAACAATATAGAAAGAAAATTTAAAAAATAAGTTTGTTAAAAATTATTTGTATGCTTAAAACAAAGTGCTAAATAAATTTAACA